ACATTTTAAAGTTGCCATTTATGCAGACCAGTTTAGGAGAACAATCCCCAAAACAACTCCTACTTATTACTTAGCACGTTTTACATAATCAAATGAATGTCATAACATTTGAGCATTATAATATTCATCAGAAGAAAATGCAAATATTGAACAGGACTGTGTTTTTGGTGTATTTCCTTCATTTTGAACAGTTTAATCTTTATTATTTTGTAAATTATGAGCTCTTGAACGCTTCTTTGATGCCAGCCACGGCCTCTGGCAACCTGAATATCTGACAGCAACTGTGCCCGGTAGTTGCCCATCCAATAACTATTCTTCCTTTTGCCTTTAGTAACAAAACACTAAGTAATGTGTCCAGCGAGAAAACTTCATTTTCCAGCTTCCCTTACAAATGGCAGCCAATGCAAAATAAGCACTTAGTCTATGTGGTCTCTCAGCCTTCCATTTTTTTATACCTGGAAATGCTACACAATGCTGGAAACCCAGTCACCAGACTTTAGACAGTTATACACTCAGGATGGCAAAGCAGAAAGCCACAAGGAGGCCATGTCTTTTACAACTTTATGTTGTGGGTACATCTGACCCAGACTGCTCACCTCCAGGCTAGTCTTACAAGAGTGAGAACAACTATTCTGTGTAAACCACTATCATTTCGGTTCTTGTTTCCAGCATTCCTAATGTCGTCTTCAGGAACCCATGTGAGTTAGCTGGGGTGGAAGCGAAGAGATCTAAAATTCTTAGCCCTCTGCTTTGTCTAGTCTTGCTCGAAGGCCAATTTATCTACTATAAGGTTTTCAACTATTATCTCTGCACTCAAGATTCCTGTTTGATTTTTTTCCCCATATCTAACCTCCAAATTTCTAAGTAGCTTCAAATATGTCCAATTTGGATGTTCCTACAATTACTTTAAAATTTGAATGTATTTCTTTTATTGTTTTAACCCTCCTCAATTTCCTTATCTTTAAATAGATTTTCTCAATTAGGTTTAAGTCTACAGAGGACCTCAAAAAAAAAAAAAAAAATCTATTGAACAGAATCTTCATGAGCCAGTCCCGGAAACTGAAGTTCCAATGACAGAGCTGGGAGCTTGTTTGAGAACCTCCTATTATTTTCATTCATTTGTCTCCTGCCCTATATTCACTATATCTCTGTGTCCCATCATGTGGCCTTTGTAACCTCATTTAACCTCATTTCCTACTATTCTTCCCCTCACAGTTCCTTTAACACTCCTGGCCCTCTGTTGCCTTGAGGCCTTCACTCTGTCTGTTCCTTCTTCCTGAAACACCCTTCCCTCCCAACCCCTCCAGGTTACCTTCTTCCCCTCCTCCAACTTGTCAGTGAAGGCTAGCCTAACCAACCTACTGAAAACTGCAACCCACCCACCAACCTTAAGCATCTCACCTGCTCTTTATTTTTTCCCTGGCTCTTACCACATAACAAGTTCTATAATTTGCTAATTTTTTGTGTTTCCTTTGTCTCTCACCTCTCTAGAATGAAAGCACCTCCAGGGCCAGGCTTTTTGTACTCTGCTCACTGGAACTGTACTAGTAAGGGCTCAACAGATGTCTATTGAATGAGCTGATGATTTTCTCAGAAATATCTCTGATGCCCTCCCTCCCCATTCTCACTGCTCTACTCCAATACTAACTGTGGACTTCATCATTTGTAGACTTTTTTTTTTAAACAATAGAATCTATTTACATTGTCATTTTCTCCTAACCATCTAACACACTTCCAGATTTAATCTTTCTAAAAACAATTCTTTGGTATGTCACTTCCTTATAATGATTTCGCTCCTAACTGGCCCTGTTAGAGATATTATACACTGCCATCATGCTTGAATGAGAAATTGGATCAGACAAGTTCTAAGATCCTCTTCAAACAGTCAATGCTATATCTAAATGACTCATTTTGGCATTCAAACTGCCCTGTAATCTAGCAGTACCTCACCTATCCAAATTTACATCCTGCTCCTTCCAAGTTTCCCTCTGCTCTTGGCCAGCTTCCTTAAGAATGCTCAGATAAGCCATATTCCCTTTCACCATTTTTTTCAATGGGTTATTCTATCTCCAACACCCTCGTGACTATTAAAAAAGATGGCAATATCCTTCAGAACCTTGCTACTCAAACTGTGACCTGTAGGCCAGCGTTAGCACCCCCTGTGAGCCTCTCAGAAATGCAGCCACTCCAGCCTCGTGGCAGACCCCCTAATCTAACCAGATCTCCGGTGAGTCGGTGAGTCGTCAGCACCTTAAAGTTTGAGAAGGATCGCGTGAGCACTCCTGTCAAGTCACTCCTCAGCGAAGGGTTCTCTCAGCAGGCCTCATGCTCTTAGGTCCTGGCCTTCCACAGGCCCTGAGGCACCCATAGCAAGCACAATGTTCAATTAATAGCATCCCCACATGGACTGTTTATTCCTTATTTCATGTAAGTTTTTTCTCCTCACTTGGGCTGTAAATAAGTGGCACAGGACAGTCATGCATCTGGCCGATCTGGATGCAGAGAAGAGAAGCCCATTCAAGTTACTTAAAGGAAAAAAGAGACAGTCCTAGTTCCATTTGGGAACTGAGACTAGAAAACCTGGGGCGGGGGGTGCTCCAGGGCCTGGCCACCCTCTTGGCGTCTGTGTCTCTCTGCCCCATTCTCTTCATCCCAGGTGTCCTCTCTCCCATCTTTCTGTTCACTCATAGTTTCTGCTTCCACCTCAGCAGCACTTGCATGACCCATTATAGCCGGCCACCCTCTCCTGTCCCAGCCCGTGCATCTCTGTCCTTTTCTGCTCCAATTTTCATTCTAAGTCTCTCAGTTTAACCCATCTCATAAGACAGAAAATCACCACAAAGAATCTTTTTGAGACAAAGCACAAGGGTACAAGTGTCTGGACCGCCTATGGATTGTGTACCTTCGGTCAGCAGCCTACCCTGGTTCAATCAGCTGAGGCCAAGGGGCTGCGGTACAGAACAAGGCCCTTTAGGCAGTGGGAGCCATCAAAGGAGACTATTTCTTAGGAAACAAAAGTGTGGGCAGAGCAGGCAATGAGCCACATCGCCAGCCCACAGAGTCATTATTTATGTTGTCCTCACCACAGTCTGGAGCAAAATGCTGAGCACAGAATAAACAGAAACCAACCAATATGGCAGGGGAGGGTCATTCACTAAGTACCACTATACCCCCAATGCTGTGCTGCACGCACAGGGAATATCAAGATTAAATAAGAAGGGTTCCTTGTTTTCCCAGGGCTCTTAATCCAAATGTGTCACAGCACGAACTACCCAACCTTGGGCAGGTACCTAAACCACCCGGGCCACAGCTTCCTCAACTATCAGATAAGATCACCGTCACCAACCTCCAGGATTGTTGTAAGGTCCTATAAGGTAATCTTTATGGAAATGCTTTGTGAAATACATACATGAATTAAAAATAATACTGTAGCCTTGCACTAGTAATAAAATCCACAGGTTTTCCATTGTTTTCCAGTCTTTTCTCTCTCCCTTATTTCCCACAATATATGATTCATCAATAGTTACCATTTCAAAGAACAATCCCAACTGTTACTGCTGTATTTTCATTACCTGTATGGCTCACTCAAATGGTGATTAGGAAAAGTCACTCATTTCACTCAGAAGTATAAGAAAAAAGAATGAATATATTTTTACTTTGTACATTTTTATGACACTATCGCCCATCCCACTGAGCATCTAAAACTATAATGCCCTATATACGTTTTTCATTACATTACAAATAACAATAAACAGGTACTAAATTCTTATGTAGGACATAGGTCAATCCTGACTTTTGTGTGGGCGTCTCCCCAGAGCAGTTTCTATTGGTATTTCCCAAGCAATGTAGGTATTAGAGCACAGTGCCCCAATTTTTAACATGGGGACTCTTGGGAGAAAAAAAAATACAATGGCCATCTCAAACCCTTGGAGTCTTATCCTCCTAACTTCTATTTATTTATTTATTTATTTTCCCCCCTTAAAACTACTTTACCACCTGCCTCACATTAAAGGGTGGGGTGTGGGCAAGGGTGGGAATCTGGGATGATGGCAATATAGACTAGTTCTCAAAAACATGTTATTCCATCCTTTGCAGACGCTAGGTTTATGGGAGAGAAAAACAAAAGAAAACAAAACTGAGATATCTATAATCTTGGGTTTGCCATGAGGAAAACCAAGGAAAATGTTTACAGAGTAACTGCCTCACGGTAGGCAGGATGCTGAGGGCTCTTCAGACAAGATGGAGAGTGTCTTGGACCTCCAGAACTCACTTGCCCTTGGGCATCTGTTGCTCCTGGCTGACAAGTGTATTCATTCAACAGCTGGCCCTGGGTGGAGCAAAGGAAATAGCTTCCACCTTGCTAAAAGTCAGCTGAAGCTAGCTCAAGGGCGGCTTCGGCAAAAAGGAAAAAACAAAAACGAAACCTCTTAGGGAGCTGGTGAGACTGCGCTGCAAGAGGCAGAATTGCAGACACCGTAACGCACAGTGCCCGCTGAGCACCCAACCCCAATTAAGGCTCCTCGCGCTCTGGGAGGCAAGGGGCTGTAGACCAAAAGATCCTGCAGCCTGGGAAAACAAACCTGCTTTTCGGGGAGCCGTGATGTGCGGGGTGCAAAAAGGTGGGCGGCGGGTTGGGAATCTGTTCACTAGGGTGGGGAAGCCGAATGGAGACGCGGAGGTTTGTGTGCTAGTGGGAGGGAGGTGGGTTGGGCAAGAGCGCTGGGTGACAGCGACCAAACAATCACGCTGCAGTGTAAAGCAGGCTTTGGGGTTCTGGAGCTGGGAAAGGGTCTGCAAGTGTACTGGAGGTGCTGCAGGAAGAAGGGTCCGCTAGGGGCGACGGCCTGGGGCAAGAGGTGGGACAGACATCTCTTTCCCCGATAGGGGAGCGCGCGCCCGCGCGCGCGCGCACACACACTCACAAACACAAGACCCCGCGCTGGCCCCGAGCGGCTCCCCATGCTCTCCGTATGCAATTCCCCGCTGCGGCGGCCACTCACCCTCCGCGCGGGAGCGGATCTCCGACACGGTCCTCCGCATGGTGGACATCGCGGCGATGGCTGCAGGTGTGTCTTCAGTCCAGACTCTGCACCTGTCACTGCGCTGCACAAGCGGGAGAGCGGGCTGCGCCGCACCGAGCGCTCAGTTGGCGCGCGGGCCCCGCCACCCACCCAGGGTAGCGTAGCCGCGGGGCGCAGCCCCCGCGCGCGAGCGACACGAGGAAGAGGCGACGAGGGTGGCGGCGTCCGCAGAGCTAGGCGAGCTCTCCCTGCAGACACGGAGGGGGCGGCCCGGCGAGGGGCGGAGCTAGGGCGCCGGCGCCAGGGAGGGGTCGCCGGGGAGCGCGTTCATTCGCTCTCGCAGCCGCCTGGCGAACAGCGCTGGAAAGGGGCGGGGAAACACCCTAGAGCACCTCCTTCGCCCAGCCTCTATTCGGGCCATACCATCCCTGCGGGGGGAGGGTTATCCGCACTCAGCCGCCTCCTTATCCGGTCGTCGCTCATCCCCTGGCTTCAGCTCGTCCCGTCTTTTCTGAACGCTTTTCTAACTCTCTCAAGACTTGACTAGAGGAGAATGGGTGCTCTGGCTCCCGCTTCCTTGAATAGCCCGTCCCGTACCCTCTGGCTTTTAAAAACAATAAAATCGGTCCTGGTCTACACAGTGGGGTTGGGTCTAAGTGGGCAAGCAGGAGGCGAAAGGGACTGGAACGCCAAGCTTAAGTTCCGGACCCTACAGTGGAAAGGGACGGCGAGTTCCCCATCTGGGGTGCAGTTCTAGCTTCCCTGCACCGCCAGCAGCCCTCTCGGCCTGAGCCGTACTTGCTTTTTGGCCTGGCCCCCAAGCAACAGGCTCCGAGGCCAAATGCCCGGCTGCCGGGTCTCCTGCCTTTGGTACTTGCATGCGTCTGGGGCTGGCCTGCGAGTGGGCCTGGCGCATCCCACCTAGTGCGTGCTCTGCAGCCTGACAAAGTTCTGGAACTGTAATAAAGTCAACTACTGGGCAGGTGGTTCAAAAGGAGTTTTTTTGCTGTGGGTTTTTGCATTTAGTGAAACCTTCAGGAAGTTGGGTGCAGTAGTTTTAACTGAAAAGAGGAGAGGGGTCCTTGTATAAAATCAATATTTTAAATTTTAATCTGCCCCATATCCCAAAGATCATTGTAACCTTGTTACCTTTTATTTTGTATACAAGTTATCATAAGAAGTACGGTATTTTTATTTTATTGCTGATTTCATCTTTTGAGTTAGAATGTGTGCTACTACATAGATTCTGGTGAACTGCTTAAATGGCGAGAAAGGAATAAATTAAATTAGACGCAATCTTCCTCATCTTGTTCTCTTTCTCCAGCACTGCATGGAAGGGGGCTTTATATGGAGGCCTTTAATGTGAACTGCCTTCATATCCTTAGGGGAGAGATCTGGAGAGGTTTGACCAGAGAGCTAAGCAATTATTCCCAAACCTCAAGAAAAAAAATCTGCTAATAGCATCTTATCTCCATCTGTGGTGTTTCCTCTGCCTCCTGCAGGTAACATTTGCTAATCAGAGCCCTGCCCTACGTTAGTACTGAGTCAGGCAGTCAATGCATATTTATGAAAAACCCATTCTACTTCTCTACTTGGCTCTGATTCAGAGGCTGGGATTAGGACCAAAAAAAAAAAAAAAAAAAAAAAAAAAAAGCAAGCATTTCCAGTGTTGAGGAAACATGACAGGGTAGAGCAGGACTCAAGATAAATGTGTTTGTTTCAGTGATTGATGGTCATGATTTACAAGTATGTTCCTCTGAAAGTAAGAAATGAGTACACTGCTTTGTAAGGACTGTCATCACGGGCCATTTTCATTCCGTCCAGATCCAGGGCCTCCCTGCATAAAGCTGGCTTCCTCTGGTTTGATGAACATGAGCCTGAAACAAAATGAAAAGGGTAAGTACAACGAGAAATAGTAAAAAATCAGCTTTAAAATTCAGTGAATGGAAACCAGAGGAAATGCAGTGCTTTCATGATTAATATTTTAGGTGTAATTTACAGAAAGCCAGAGCCAGTTTTTGTTCCAAGTCAGTGCACAGCAGCATGACGGCATTTGATTTACGAGCCATCGCCTTTGTAATTCCTCATGAGCCCTCAGATGGAGTTCAGGACTGCTTCTTTACAAAGAATAATCATTGGAAGGGAGTTCCAGAGATTGTCCCTGTTTGCTACCGAGCAGCTCCTTTTATATACGTCATTGTGTGTGTGTGTGTGTGTGTGTCCCCAGCAAAGTCCATCAGCAAAGGTGACAACACATGTCACTCATACAGGAAATGACAGCAGTCTTTCATACAGAGAACATTGCGTGATACAGTCTATAGCTGTCTGTCTGTCTTTCCCCAAATTATCCTATTACCGTGTCCATACTGGTAAGAGTCTCCCAACTGACTCATTTCTGAAAACCACTCCGTCCTGATTGCCAGAAATCACGCACATTTTTATTGGTTCAGAAGCCTAATGAGGTTGACGTGTGGCACTGATCTGTATCTATCTGATTTCCATGTCCTCTCAGGTCTCATCTTCCATTGTTGTGAGAAGCACCGTGTACCAGCCCCTGGCAGGGAACGCCAGTCCTAGCAACATGACCTTGTCACAGAATCTGTAGTACAATTCAGATGTCAGCAAGATCATTTGAAAACTTTCAGGTCCTATGACTCCATGCTGATGGACTTAGAAGGAAGAGGGTTAGTCAAAGGCAGCTTGTCCAAGGACCAGGTTTTATCATCCTCTACAAAGTTTACACTGACTGCATAATATGTGTGAGGTGCTGAGCCAGAGTGCTAGGTTACAAAGACCCTTAGAGCACATGTGAAAGTCAACCAGCAATGCAACTAGATGGCTGATGCAAAACGCCAAATGGACAAGCAGCAACGACTGTAGACATCGAGAGAAGGGGAGAGTTCAAGAACTGGGGTGATCAACATAGGTGAGCTAGGTCTTGAACTAGGGGATTAGACAGTAGAAACAAACCAATGTTCCAGATAGGAATGCTTGGCGTATAGGAGGTACTCAATAACTGTTTGACAAATATTTAATGTAAATGCAGTGCTAAAAAATCATATATGTTGTGGGGGGAAAGAGACCGATTGGACTGCAACATAGATTTTCATTGGTTATCTGTACATTTTATATGGGTGAATTGTATGTTGTGTGAATTGTATGTTAAGGCTGTTAAAAAAATTATCTGCAGAGGTGTCAGGTACAAAATTATCAAGTCTAGAAAGTACAAAGGAGATGTTAGGGATATTTTTATCCTGCTGGATTTTCACTTACTAATTGCCTGAGTTGGTGGTTGTTTGGGGCCACCAAGAATTAAAAATGGGTCTCCTGTGGTAGGAACTCATAGCCAAGTAAGTGAGAGAGGCAAGCTCACTCATTTATTAACTTACAGTACAGACAGAAGTCCTTCGGGAACTTGTGGCTGAAGGTGTGGAGATGTGCCTGAGAACCTGGCTTCTGGCTGAGACTGAGGCCTGGAGAGCTGATTACCGCACTACTATAAAACACAGATGCCGAATGGCGCTGGCCGCTGTAGTTTCATTCTTCTGCAGAAGCACAAACTAATTAGATACATGAATCTCAACTTTTAGATAATTACATTTTTAGTTTAAAATTGAGATGAAGTTATAACATAAAGTTCTATCAAATCACAGTGCTACCTGGTGACAGTAAGAAAAGGCACTTTTGACCTTTGGCGCATAGTTAGTGTTATATTGATTTGCTGGATTAGTGTACAGAAGATAGACTATTAGACTTGTAAGGCTCTTTGGCCAAGATTTCCCCCTCGGATCACTCCCTTTCTGTTGCCATGCCTTACACGTGTTCCCCTCTGACGACACCAGCAAGTTCTCTAGACTGTTTCCAAATATGTCTTAAGTTTCTTCATCTCCACTTCTACCCCTCTTTTTTTTTTTTAAAAAAAGATTTTATTTATTTATTTTTTAGAGAGAGAGGAAGTGAGGGAGAAAGACAAGGAGAGAAACATCGATTGGTTGCCTCTCGCAGGCCCCTCAGCAAGGGACCGAACCTGCAACCCAGCCATGTGTCCTAACCAGAACTCGAACTGGCAGCCTTTCAGCTTTGCTTTCTGAGATGACGTCTGACCAACTGAGCCGCACACATTAGGGCCACCTCTGCTCCCCTTGTCCAAGCCACTGTCACTGCTCACCTTCGATAATAGCCTCCTAACTCATCTCCATGTTTTTATTTTTGTCAGTCACTCATCTTACAGGAGCCACAGTTATTATTTTCAAACAAAAAACAGTTTATGTCATTTCTTAAGACTCTTCGGTGGCTTCCCATTGCACTTGGAATGAAACCCAAACCCTTTATGGTCTTGTCCTTGACTGACTCGCAGACTCATCTTCTACCAGCTCATTCGGTCACTGGGCTCAGGTGAATCCAGCCCACCCCAGCTAATCATGCCCCACCTCCCCCAATGCCAGCTACCGCCTGAGGGCCTTATTCTGTTTTTCTCACAGTCCTTATCTCTATCTGGTTTCCTTATTTGTTTATTGGCCTGTTTATGATAAATAGGTCTTGCTCTACTTGCCTTACTACAATTTGTCTACTTGAAGAACAGTGTCTGTTATTTAGCACAGGATCAATAAATATTTGTCAAATGAATGAACTGAAAAATGGGTGTACTATGAATGATCTTGTTCCTTAAGGCTGAAGACTGGAAATGAGTAGAAAAATAGGTAGCATTCTATTTGAAGAGGTAATAAGTTTGCAGCCTTCATAAGCATGTATACAGGAATATATTACTTTGCCAGAATTATTTACATAAAATAATTTAGAGTCTATATCCTGTGAAGTACTTGAGGTCAGAAAATTATCTTGTGATTACCCTGTTGGCTTTGGCCAAAACAAAGTGATTACATTTTAAAAACAAACTGATTTCAACCAAAACTTCTAAACCTATTTTTGTGTAAATAATCCAGGTACATATTCTTACTCATAATGATAAAAATCAACATTATTTTTCTCATGCCTGTGATTTATTGCCCATGACTGTATAATTGTTCTCTTTTTAAATACCTTAACAAGGTTTTAATTCAAAGTTATAATGTCTTTAAACATTATTTTTGTCATACACTGGAAATCTCCAACAAAAAGGTACAATGAATTTTCCTTCACTATAACTGAAAATTGTTACTGTTTGAGTGAAACTACAGTTTTGAAATATGGATTTGTATTATTTAAAAGAACTCTTAAAATGTTTAAATACCCTCCAGCATATTTAAAGTAGC